GGGTGCAGACTCTTCCAAAGAATTAGATACAGAAAGCAAGAAATGATCAGAGAGTCTCGTCCAGACATTATTTCCTTCTCATCCAGACAGGAATTGAAAATTAAGAGTTAGATAAAAGAAGCAGATATCTGGAATTGAATGTTTCATTAATGTTAACGCTGTTTAATGTTTTCACACAGATGTGGTTAATACCGTGTAAAAAAGATGAAATTCAAAATACGCCACACTACCTCAGCCCTGTGTATAAAACAAGCGAGAGACGTGGGACTCTGTCCACTACAGGCCACTCGACTAACTTCGTTATGGACATGCGCATTCCTTCTGATCAGCCGCAATCGCATTGGATCATGCGCGGTGTGGCTATGCTCTGTCAGCTCGATAACTAAGATATTCTCAACTTTTCGCGTATTTGTAACGTCTTTCTCAGTCTATTTCCTTTCGCCTATTTTAACCGTTCTTCTGTATATTAGTGTCTGTAAATACTAGGGCAAACTCTGGCGTCATACATCTGTATTTTTGTAGCATAACGTATTGTATATTTATGGCAATGAGGTGTTTTACGACACCAGTGTTAAATATTTAACAAATATAATCTGAATTTTATTGGTGGTTTGCAATTAATCCCCTGAAATTTACAAGACAAAGATATGGCAGCCATGTTGAATGAAAAACACGCTCTGAATACAACAGCTGCTAATGATATTCTGAAGTCCTAGGACTGGATCGAAATTAATTCAGGCCTTGGACATTTATGAAAATTAATTCACTTAATACTAATAATCTTTGTTTTAATTGTTAAACCCTTTCAGCTAAGAAAGTGATTTATTCGTATGAAATGTCAATTCCTCGCATGTTGATCCAGTCCTTGATTTCGCCTCGGACTTGATCAAATTGCGTGCACTTGAAATCTAGTCGAGTCCTCGTAGTCGGATTTCAAACATTACGTCACATTAATCATTATAGAGACTCTCAAGTTTGCCGAGTTTCGAGATGATGTCAGGGAGCTTTTTTGCTTAAAAGCATGTAGGACGGCAACACGACGACGACGGCAACCAATACAATGAGTCAATGAAAACAAATAAATAATTAAAGTCCCGGGGGAGTTTCAGACGTATAGTCGTCGCTCTGTTTACAACGGCAAATCACAGATTTTCACGTCTTTCATACAACACCTGCATTTCAAGCCGTAACAAGTGTAACTTAAAATTCGGTTCAGTAGAACTCTTCCCAAACATAAAGCCAATATTTTCAACTTCTTATACTGTATTAAATTCATACGAATTATAATATACGACAAGTTTTCTTTACTATCATTTATTTGAAGGAATTTGTTTTGGTCGTCGTATTGCCGTCCTACATGCTTAAGCTCCCTACTGTTTACTATGAGATGACAACGCGGTTCGTTAAGCTAGTGTTTTATTTTAAAAATAGGTTTTAATTGCGACAGCATGAAATTAGGTCAGTGTAATTAAAATGAAAAGACGCCGAGGAATAAATAATTACAGAATAATTCACACTTTGTACAAGATACATTGACACATTTTTAGCTAACGAATATATTTATAGTTTGCTCTTAAAATATTGTAGTCGTCATAGAATAACTTATCTGTTCTTTGCATTTCGTATCACAAGGCAAAACATGTAAACAATTCCTAAAATATTTACGTCAATATTAATCAATTGTCCATGCAGCTCTGGCTTTGTAGCCTTATTTAAGTCATCCCCAATGTAATTCCCCAAGGCATTGGCACCTGGAAATTTGCATATCTTTAATTTTCACTTTGCAATCAGCTGATTCTTATGCAAATATTCCAACACTTTGAAAAGTGCACTTTGAATTGGGGAAAGAGTGAGTTGGCCGTGAGCGAAAGTTCTTCTCGTCGTTTTAAACAGTTCAATTCGAAGGATGCCTGAACTAGTTCTCACGAATAAAGATAAATGCCCTAAAGTGGCTTAACTGGAAATAAAGTTACTGACACTGACGAAAGAAGTTAGGTTTCTGTGGGCGAATTGAATACGGATACGGGCTGAATTTTCCGCGACGAGACATTATGAAAGGAAGGTAAATATGAATACTTTGAACTATAAAGTTGAATGCTTTTAGAATAAGCTTTCCCAAGCGAGAGGTTTCTCAAGGGGGCATGCACTACATGGTCGATCACTATAAGTGTCGGCCCGTTCAAAGACAAAGGGGACAATCGAGCAAATTTCAGTGCGATCTTAGGCTCTTCACTGTACTGTTCAATACATTCCATACTGCACTACACTGCAACCGTACAATACTGTACAGTACCATACTAGTCCACACGCTGCTGTAACTCTGACGATACACACGTAATAATCTTACAACTTGTCAACAAGATGTGTTCGCAACAGGCTTGTAGCAAGCTTGTCAACAAGTTGTAACAATGCTGTTATTTTATCAAGTTGCTACAAGGTTGTCACTCACAGCTTGTTGACAAATTGTTGAATAATAAGAATAGTTGTTGGAACAACTTGTAGCAAGTGTGTTGAGCTCAACAATATTGTAGCAAGTTGTCAACAAGCCGTTGAAAACTTGTCAACAAGCTGGGAACAAGCAGTGCGAACGCATCCTGTTGACAAGTTGCTGGAACAGCATTGCTACAAAAGTCTGCTGAAGGTTTGTTACAACTTGTGCGTTTTTACGTGTGTAGTTAGTTACATTAAACACAGCAGCTCACAAATATACTAATCCACACAACCCTTTCTTATTCTAGATGGTCTCTCCTTTTAATTCTCACTCTCTTTCAACCTTCTCGAAACAGCAGCCTTTGTCCTAAACTCTGCCAGTGTCGGACGCGCCATGAACCTGCTACATATGTCTCCAATGCATCCGCAATGAACCTTGTGTCTTGTGATCGTCTTGGTCTCAAGTCGTTTCCAAAGAACATTGACCCAAATGTAACGCATCTGTAAGTATGGGCGTTCGTCTTCCCAATGCAGCCAACTTTCTATTGTTAAGCAGTAAAGGCTGTTTTCCACTAGGCGGAATTTTGCGCGCGGAGCGGAATTTTTCTTTGTCTTTTCTAATTAGTTCCACCCGAGAAATCACAAGACAAAGAAAAATTCCGCTCCGCGCGCGGAAAATTCCGCCTAGTGGAAAACAGCCTTAAAAGTTGAAACTGTTTCTGAGATCACAGGAGAAATTTCGCATGGCTAAATTCTAAGTTTTGAAGGATTTGTAAGAATTGTTTGAGGAAGCTGACTCGTTGTTTAACACAAAGTCTGTTCCCTCAAATATTTCTTACAAATTCTTCAAAATTTATCTATGCAAAATTCCTACTGTGATCACAGAAACGTTGATAGTGATTGGTGTTACCATGCGGCTTAAGGTTATCAACTCATTTCATGTTTTAAAGGCGCAGTTCAGCCTTTTGAATGATGGTTTTTAAGGTGAATTTCAGCCCTTTTAATTGAAAAAACTAACTAGGAAAATCAATTAAGCATAATTCAAGATATATCCTGGGAGGGGGATCCAGAAAAAAACATACAGAAATATAAAGAAAAAAAGGTCTACCTTTAAGTTGATCTATTGGGTGCCAACCATTTCATTTTTCTTTTTATCCTAGAGATTTGAGTTCAAATCACATTTCTGATATTTCTGTCAACGATTTTCGGAATCTGTCTTTGCTACGAGAGCTGTAAGTACTCGAGTGTTGCGCACACGAAATTCTCCCTTTGGGAAAAAGTTTTTTTGTTTCTCAAGTGCGATTATTGTTTGTTAGTTTTGAACCGTCAATGCCACTTGATAGTTTACAAATTTCATGTATAACCTACTTCTTATTAAAATATTTAGAATATTGACCGACAATCCAATAATGACAATTCCCGCAGGTGCATTTGATTATCTTACATCACTACAAAGCTTGTGAGTATCACAATTATACATCACTTGACTTGTTAACAAGGCATTCAGCTTATTTGACACTTTAAAGTTTGCCGAAAAATCATGGATTTCCAACGACGGTTATATCTTACGACATTTTCGCATAAACGTTTGCGTGATCAGAGCTTTGTGATTATTATACAATACTGCATGCATGGATTACCGCACTGTTTCTCTTGTTTTAATATATATTTGTATACATTAAAATAGTTAAAAGTTCTACATGCTTTTTTTTATTTAGACATCTAAGTGAAACTTTTATCGAAACTATTCCTGAGTTCACTGTTTCTTCGTCTGTTGTTTATTTGTAAGTTACATATTTCTTATCATGCAAAGAAAAGTTGATGTATAAAATTTCTCCACCACTAAACGATGTTCAACGAATGATCAGGGACGCCGGAACGATGTGAAGGCAAGGGGGGCAGATTTTCGTGAAAGGGCACTTTTGAATTGATATATACTAAGAGATGTTTGCAAAACATCGGGAGTTGCACTTCGCCTAATCATGTTTTCTATTTATTGGATGATAGAGGTGTGAGGGGGTTCTCCGCCAGGCGATTGTGCTATTCTTGAAAGTCGATGACTGCATTTCTTGCGTTTTCTGAAGCAAATTCGTAAAAGAATTGCACTAACATTTCTGACAATTCGCTATTTCGCCAAGGCAATCCTTTAAATTGAAAGGGCACCTTTGCCCCCCTTGCCCCTCCTGGTAAAGGGCAAAGGGGGCGGCTGGCCCTCCTGCCCCCCAGTTCCGGCGTCCCTGCGAATGATGTAAATATCTTTGCACATGAAGCCTTCATCGAAGGGGCCCACTCTCTCACATCACAGAAATGTTATATAATACAACTATACCTCGACTTTAACTTCCCGACGAAAGGTCGAAGTTCTCCTTGTATTTTTCAGGTAGTTGTATCCCTACCAATCCGAAACTTTCTTATTATTGCCACTCCCTACATTGGCACCGACGTTCAATGTTATATAATAGTCTATGAAGCAGCTTCACGATAGCAGAGACTCGTTTCATTTTTCCTGTGATCTTATAGATATTTAGACAATACCAATGTAGAAGAACTCACTCCAAACAGTTTGAGACATTACTCAAAATTGGAAGGCTTGTAAGTATAGCTGCATTGATTTTATTTTGTCTCACGCTTGCTAAGTCGCATGTCAGAAAAATGTTACCAGTTTGGCTTTAGAATACTCAACTAAACACATTTGCATTCTGCACTCGACCCGACAAGGAAGGACCCTGACTGGAGCTCTATACATTAGGAATAGTAGCTGCTTATTATTTAATCAGCATAAAAATTTCAATTTTTTGTCTGTAGATACCTGAAAAGATCAAAAATCAAACGCCTCGTTAATGGTGTATTTCAACACGCAAGAAAACTAAAATATTTGTGAGTAAGCTAGCTGTGTTGTGCTCTACCTATGAAAGTTAAATCGTTCACTAAAGCCTGACCATTGTGTACAGGCTGATCGAATATTCAATGCTGAATCATATCGAAGAGGGCGCTTTCAACGGACTCCAATTGCATACACTGTAAGTTTTTCACTTAAATTTTTTCTATGACTTATCGTTTGCTAACTGCAAGTACTGGACTGTAGGGATGAAGCGATTTGCGGTTGGATTTGCAGCTATCAATGTGCCTTCAACTTTTAAGTATGCCTTCATAATATAGAATGCATACATCACCAAGGTTAAAACATATTCATAATTAGCGCAATTTATAATGTGCTTTCACTGTTTTAAATTGTACATAATTTTTGAAAACATGTAACAAGCTATAGACGCTCGTTTTCTTCCCAGGAGTCTGCAAGGAACTCGTATCCGTTCTCTTCCTGTGAACGGTCTGGAAGAACTCATCAACCTCAACTTAGAAGATGTGTATAGTCTCTGGCAGTTATACGCTTCACAACTGCCAAACATCAGACACCTCTTGTTGACGTACGAGTTTCTGTGTTGCCCTTTTGTGGATAACCTTTTCGACGATACTTGGGAGGTGGGCAGAAATGAACAGGGGGTGTTGCAGGAGTGTAAACACACTGAGGCTGTTCCTACTGACTTCCCTCGTTCCACGATAAATCCACGCTCCACCATAAATCCTCGACGGACTGTGAATGATCCACCCTCGAGCTTGCCTGAGAAAACTTATTCCACATCAGTGTCTTCGCATTCAAACTTACCAAAAACCTCTGAGAAATTATCTTCGCATTTACCGTCTTTGTCAATCTTTACAAACAAACCTAGATCCACTGATCGTCCAGTTCGCAAAAGAAGAAACTCTTCCTCCCAGAATTATTCATCCAGTCATAAAAAGACTACAAGCCAATCCTATCTCCCTACGAGCTTACCTAAAGAACTCCATACATCTACACGGCAAAGCAACAAAGAATCTACTAGCTCTAAATTGCTTTCCACCTCACCATCAACACTTGCAAATCATACGAAATTTTCTAACCGTTCTCCTAACCCTGCCATGAGAGTCCAAAATGATTTCATTTCGCTCGCATATAATGGTTCATTGTTAGTGTTTACTCTCGATCCTTGTGACTTGGGGCCGTTGCCTACGGGACCGGTTGAAGTGTCTCAGTTGAGAAAAAAGCGAATCATTTGTCGGCCGAAACCGGACGAGTTTAACCCTTGCGAGGACCTGCTCGGCTCGGTCGCCCTACGAGTATCAACGTGGTTTATTTCCGTGTGTGCTACCATAGGGAACCTAATCACTTTAATTGTAATTCTGCTGAATCGTCGTAAGCCTAGCAACCACAAGTTACTCATGTGTGCCCTGGCATTCTCTAGTCTTTGTATGGGCGTCTATCTCATCATTCTGGCCACAGTGGACGCGAGGACGAAGGGATATTATAACAAATACGCTAAGGAATGGCAACACGGAGTCGGGTGCAAAGTTGCCGGCTTCCTATCAATATTTTCCACAGAACTGTCAGTTTTTACATTGAACATTATAACTCTCGAGCGGTATTACGCAATCGTATTTCCTTTGCGCCAGACGAAATGGATGACGGTCAGACAAACAGCAATCTCGCTAGTGCTCAGTTTCTTGGCCGCGTTCGTCTTGGCCGCGTTACCGCTGACCGGCATAAGCTCCTACACCAAGGTCGCAATTTGTTTACCATTTGACGTCACAAGTCTGGCGTCCAAAATTTACATCACATTTCTACTGGCCAGTAATGGCGCATCTTTTTTCGCCGTACTTTTTGCCTACATTAAAATGTACTTCAATATTCAACATACGGCGCGGGCATCGTTCGCCGACTTAAATATCGCGAAAAAAATGGCGGTGATAGTTCTGACGAATTTCGCATGTTGGGCTCCAATCGCTGTGTTTTCGTTAATTGCGATTTATGGGGAACCTTTAATTGACGTCGCGATGTCCAAATTCCTAATGGTCTTCATTTTCCCAATCAATGCGCTAACGAATCCGTTTTTGTATTTTTTGGTCACAAAACGTTTTCAACAAGATTTGCGCACCGTGTTCGACCGCTGTCGTGTTTGCGCGTGTTGCGCGGGCTCAAGTTATTCAAGACGAGAAAGGACGGAGTCTTTTCGTACGAGCATCACGCGAATAAAATTGCGTTCTCGCAGCGGGAGTGGTAATAGCCTCATTTCAATGTTTCGCCGATCCCCCGGAAGAAGTAGTGTGGAGAACCATAGTAGTACTCCAAGGCATTCCGTACCCCGGGGGTCCGAGGACAGACGCGGCTCGATACTGCAAAGGGCAGTGACCTTCCTGTTGCCGGCTCTAAACAGCAGACGACAAAGCGAGGGAGATGGTGCAATGTTAAACTCGAAAACAGCACGGAGAAAAAGCTACGATATAGCATCGAAAAATAATAACATACTCCCAGGAGAACCTCGAAATGTTGATGAGAATATGACGTGTTTAGTTTCAAGTTATCGTGAGCGTCAACAAAGCGAAAAGGAATGTGAAACTCCTTTTATCTACGAGTCTGCTTGTTAAGGCCTCGGTAATCAATATCAATATTTTTAAATTTAAAGGGTTACGGCAAAATATTTTTTTATTATTTCATTTTAAAGAACTTTTAAAATTATATGTTAATCTCCTTTACCAATTTTGCGTAACTTTATTATTTCTTGGAATATTTTGACTTAAAATAATTTGCTGTCCGCCATCTTGGATTAATTTTTATCTCATCGGTGATTTTAGTGACGTCAAAAGCAGGGTTAGCCATATAAAACTACATCTAAATGACCAAATAACATTAAGTCTTGTTTGAAAAGACTTCAGACAGTTTTTTATTTCAAATAGTTACTGAAGTATATGATTTTGGACTCATAATAACCAATTGCTCTATGGATAAAACTCCTTGCGTGACCCTGCTTATGATGTCACATGCATATCCGCCAAAATCCAAGATGGCGGAAAGCTCGCTGATTTGTGATTTTTTCTATTCAAATATCTCAAGAAATAATAAAGTTACGCAAAATCGGCAAACGAGATTAACATATAATTTTAAAAGTTCTTCCAAATGAAATAATAAAAAAATATATTGCCGTATCCCTTTAAAGGTGATCTACAGTCCGATCTGCGCATGTGCATAAAGGAGCCCACTTTTTATGATACAAACAGTTTAACTATGTTTTGGGTTCTTGAAAAGCCTGATTATTGTTTCTTGATCATTTATTATACTCTAGAAGCTTGAAAATATAAATAGTTGTTGAATAAAGCTCAATATTTTGGACACAAAAATGTAAGCAAAGGCTTTGTTTACATACGGACTGTAGAGCACCTTTAAGGCCTCGGTAATCAATATCAATATTTTTAAATTTAAGGCTATATTTACACCATACCGAAAAAGCACCTATCCCGATACAGAATGTACGACTTTCAGAATTTGAGCAAAACAACATCTCTCCGTTAAAATCGGATAGGTGTTTTTTCACGTCGCTACGAAAAGCTATCTGGAGCCTAAGATGCGTAGACCAAATAAATTGAAATGTTTTACATTAGACGATATGGCGCGAAAGTTTTTATTGTTTCAGATCAAATAATTCTTAAAACTGTAAAGCAGAGCTTGAACCATAGTCAATAGAATAAGAAGATTAGGATGCTAACATAATACACCTCACTATCTATAGGTTTTTCTCTTGGTTTATGCAAAAAAATGGTTGGTTCATCGTCACGTATATTGTTTTTTTCGCCCAACCAACGAATATAACAGTGTGTTGGTTTAATTACCGCAGCGCGAGTGGCTTTAGACCTAATAAAACACGACATGTGAGTTTATTAAACGGCTTCAAACACGACTACAAATTCAATAGATATACTGCCTTGTTAGTATTCTTTATATAAAGAACACTAATGAGGACACGACTACAATAGATACTGCCTTATACACCCTTTTCATAAATGGCTGCCGATTAAAAATTCTTTTATGTGCATATAAATTGGCCCAACTAGCCTCGTTTCTGGGTAGAAATTCCTTTGAAATCTTAACATGAGTACGAGGCTAGTTGGGCCAATTTATATGCACATAACAGAATTTTTAATCGGCAGCCATTTATGAAAAGGGTGTATTAATATTCTTTATATAAAGAATACTAATTAGGAGTGTTTTATCAGGTTAATAAAGCCACTGCACGTGACATATTATGGTTGACATGATTTGCCAATAAGCTTATGAATTATTAATGAGTGTTTGAAAACATAGATAATGAGGTCTATTATGTCTGCACGGAGTCGTAAAGTGAATAATGCAATACGAAAATAATTATTGGTATAATCACATCAGAAAACTTCGGATTGATAGCAATGCAACTACCTGAAAAATACAAGGAGAATTTCGAAGGGCCTTCGCTCGAAACGTCGAAGGTCTCCTTGTATTTTTCTGGTAGTTGCATTCCTATCGATCCGAAACTTTCTTATTATTGCCACGACCTACATTGGCACAAACAGTTGAAGATTTTAATCATATCAGTATTTCATCACTATCACATCGTTCGTATCGTGTAATTCATTGCAAATCACAAACGTTGTTAATCTCAGTAATACGTAAGTACAAGATACAATATTATATCATTTTCAAAACATCGCACACAACGATAAAATGTCCATTATAAACACGAGCACGTTAAAACATCACACATGTAGTGTTGGCTAGCTTACGGTATTAAATTGTCTTGGAACATTTTTCGCATCAATGTACGTTTTAGTCTAACCTAAAATTCCTATACCAAGCCTAAAATTCCTAAGAAGTGCTGTACAATTTTTGGAAACTTGTCGCATTTCCAATATAACTTCCAAGATTATGCAGAAAAATCGTAGTATTAGTATTATATTGTCAATTTGTTTCAAACTGGACGAAACCTATTTAGTTTTCAAAACTCATATTCTTCTGACTGAGAAAATAAAATACGATGTTCACCCAACATATAAAATATTAAATCATCGTTCATTTGTCCCTAAAATCAATGAATACATTTCCCACTGAAGAACGTGTCGTTTGCAATCCTAACCATCTAACTGATATTTCTTTTTGAGTTCGTCTGTACGTGAGGGTGAAGGTTTCACTTTTTTCGACATCAATGGCGTACGTTGGCGTTTTTTCTTCTTCTCCTTCGTACTAACTGGCTCATAGTCTTTATTCCGAGGCATCTTACAGAAGAATATATACAACACCAACAAAATTACGATCAAAAGTAAAAACAGGGCACAGCTAAGAAGAACGTAAACCAGAATAGTTTCTTTTTCCGGTTTATCGCAGTCTCCATAATACCAGTCATCATCTTTGCACGAATTACGCTGACTGCGCAACTCTTTAGGGCGACATGAGTCGTCCGAGAAACACCAAGCACATTTCATGTCTTGCGAGCAATTTTTACAAGATGATTCATGCGCACTACAGCCCAGACTTGTCGTGGATGTTGATTGGTTAACTATATAAAAGAAATTATGATAAACTGATGGTAATTCTTGATGGTAATTCATTTTGTTATTTTATTGAGCTACGGGATGAATCGTGTCATGACACTAATGGTAATGAATTTTTTTCCTGACCATAAACGATCGTTTGAAACTGAACTTTCAAACGCTCATTAATACTATTCGTAAGCTTATTGGCAAATCATGTCAACCATAATATGTCACGTGAAAAGGCTTTATACCTGATAAACCTCATTTTCATTAGCATTCTTTATATAAAAGTCGCATTTTCCTCATCAGTTTAGTTATGCTCCGCATTGAACGAGCATGTTTGAGATTCACTAGGAAAAGCTTTTGAACTAAGAAAACTTGCTCGCCTACAATCTATATGCACATGGACTTTAATAAAAGATAAGTCGCAAATGACACTTCAATGGGTTGTGTAATCTATAACTGTTGGACTGAGGCATTCGAGCATGACAGCATAATTTTATGAGCAAACAATAAAAAAATACTGTGGTAATGGAATATATCGTTACATCTGTACAGTAAAAGATTGTGTAGGTACTAAGAAAGAGTACCGAAGTACAATATAGTATCGTATCTCGCCGACTTGTCCTGCATGCCTGAAAATCAGGAATGCCTTTCTTATTTATAGTTGGGTTAATAAGACCCCAAGATATATTAAAATATTTGACATTATACCAATTTCTATCAGCAAGATAATAGGATGTTACAGACTTACAGTGGTCATGTGACTCGACCCGCTTCAGTTGCAACTGAGTTATAATAGAAAAATTACCAGCTTACCAAATACTGTTTCCTCGGCACTACACGTATGTTTAAGCTCAATTTGATCAAAGAATCGTCGATAGTATAAATATAAATCACCATTTAACTACGGTAAAATGTGTACACATGCATTTCGGTCTTCAACTTCAGCATTGCTTGAACAACTCTACGTTGTTTTCTATGCTCAAAGTGTGCCTTTCAAAGTCAAAGAGGTTTTTATTTAGGAGTTTATTAAAGGGTGCACGCACTCTATCAATCCCGAATAAAACCCTTTCAGAGGCAGACTTTGAGCAAGTCTAGTAGCTCCCAGCAGCATGTGTTCTGTGACTACACCACCGTATCGACACCATGCGTCCCGATGCCGCCATTATTCATTAATTTGTAAAGCAAAACTACCAAGGACGTGCATCAGCAATAAATTGAAATCAATTGTTTTTGAATCAGTATATAAAGATAAGCTGCATGAATCATGTTCTGCACCATTTCAAAATAGCAAATGTGTAGTGAGCTTATTTCACTGTCTTCACTTATATATTTTATTTCATTCATTGACGGATGAACGGGTCAGACAGCACATATATTGTTTACAAGGGTCTCCAGTCTATATATCGTAATCAGATACTCAGAAAGTTGGTTTCAAGTCATAGAAACACGTTGCTGTTGTCACAGTAGGAATATTGTATAGGTAAATTGTAAGTTTTGAAGGATTTGTAATGAGGGAACTGAGTCTGTATTTAATACAAAGGCAGTTCCCTCAAACATTTCATACAAAATCATTCAAAACTTAGAATACACCTACGCGAAATTCCCACTGTGATCACAGAAATTTTGACAGTGTAAACCAGCCAATAGCAATTCTAAAAACTTATATCAGCCTGGATTGGAAAGACACAAAGACATATTGAATAGATGACTTTCCATTCCTGTCTATTTGATACCAAAATACTTTTGTTTGTCAACATGGGCGATGCTTTACATATACAGAATATTACCCCTCAAATATCGAGATTGTTGTAAGCTTCGATATTCTGGAGGCTTTTAACATTAAATATATAATAATTACTCTGATCGATTAATATAATCACCAAATAATTGTCACAGAACGGTTAGCTATAGCTTCTTATTGTGTGAGATTGAAACCTTTACAGCAATCTGTAAATATACCATATGGCAGAATTATTGTACACTGTGAATAATCAATATAAATATATAGATTATAATAAGTTCTGATAAGCCATATGATAACTAAAAGCTTAAATTTCAAGTTCTTTGCCATACGGTGAGACAATAATCGCCCCAAATGTTTTACATATAAACTGAGAAACATAATCTCACGCGAGTCGGTACTAACCTGATGTGCTTGTGACGACTGGCGCTGTGGTAGCATTTTGTTGTAAAACATTAGGAATAGCGTTACAAAATCCACTAGATATACATACTAGAACGCACACTGCAACAACATCGAAATGCCGTAACGGCAACAACTCGTGGCGAGTCATACTTTGCCAGACACTCTCTCGGCTCGAGCTCTATGACTGAACTATCGAGCAAATTCCTTGCTTTCCTCGTAACCAGTGTCAAATTTCGTTACTTCGTCGAGGAGAGAGACATCAAAGTATCCACGCATTCCAGACGAACGTCAAAGACTTTGTCTTGGCTACTGTTGACTGCATTTAGCATGTTTTAAAAGCAGTTTGTTTTTGGTATTTATGCATATTAGTGCAGAAGTTATGCATGGCTGATTTTTTCTCCTTGAGTTTCGCCAAATGTGGCGGGTTTTGAACACTTTACTGGGGGATTAAATCATACACGTTTCGCTGTTAGAGTTTAGTTTTATCATTTTGAACAAGTTTGTGATTGAATGCTCGGTCGGGAAAAGCAGTTCGGCAATATAATGTATATTGGTATTCGCTTTTGTATAATGCTTGGTTGGCCAAGACGAAAGTCGGAATATTTTGTATATTAATTAGACGCTATAACTGTCAAGGCGTAACTATACATTTGCATGACAGTGATGACACCAGCTGACTGCAGGGAAGTTGTCGATTTACGGCGGGGTCGACGACTTTGCCAGAATCTTAAAAGCTAGGCCTGCTGGGAGTGTTTAGAACCTAGAACTTTATAACCAGTCTGGACAGGCCAAGTCGCCAAGAGGTGGGATTAATATTTGGTCACGACTCATGGGTCACAGCTTGCTCAATAGATCTAGACCTTTCCCCTTTTGAGTGAAATTTTGATCTAGACAAGTCTGGACAACAATTTCATCACAGCTTGAAAGAGCATCACAAAATTAGTAATATTCCGAAGTTTCGTTGCGAAATGTTGTAAAATGCGGATAATATAGCCTTGCGAAATTTGCCGTTTTTCAGTCATTTTGGAAATTGATAATCAGTTTGATCATCTGATTACTCAATTTCCCGTTTGTAAATGCAAAATGACTGAAAAACGGCAAACTTCGCAAGGCTATATTATCCGCATTTTACAACATTTCGCAACGAAACTTCGGAATATTACTAATGTTGTGATGCTCTTTCAAGCTGTGATGAAATTTTTGTCCAGACTTGTCTAGATCAAAATTTCACTCAGAAGGGGAAAGGTCTATTGCCATAGGGTGATTAGCCTGCGTGCAGTCCCAGACTCCAAAGAGTCTGGGACTGCACGCAGGCATCCTCGTTCCCAGGGCTTCTCGGCTGCCTGCGTTGCCGTAAGCCCTGGGACAAGCCAAACCGGAACACCACAAATTCTGGTGTTTTCCGGAAGTAAACGCGTTCTGCTGCAAGCTAAAAATGCTGACTATGCACTAATTCTTACTGAGGAGTGGAGACGTGTTGGTGAGCAGAAAATATTGGATTTTTCTTTTGTTTCGATGTATTTTCCACCATCAAGGGAATATGTGCAGACCACCTAATGGAATTATACATATTGGGATTTTATATTTCGTTATATCGTTAATATTCGTCAAAATGCAACCATATTTTGGTTTCGTATTACATGTATCAATTTTCATGTATGATGTAAGTGATTCCAAACATCATGGCTTCTTGTACAGATGACCTGTTTCAACACGCGCTTGTAAAGTCACTTCAAAGACTGGACAAAGCCGGACTGGAAATTAAAGAGAAGTAATTCGAAGCTTTATCGTCCATCGTGTGTTGTATATTAAAAGGAACAAGAACGACATGTGACATGTGAGTCTGTTTACTGGGTTACAACAACGACAATAACAATGAATCACCTAACATTTCAAGAAAATATAAATTATAGATAGATGTCATGTATGACGCCATGAGTTTTGGATTTGAATTGCTAGAATTAAATCTATATTATGTATACAAAATCATGCGTGCGTAAATTTGAGCAAAAAAGCACGTTTGTTTGGCCATATGCCCATCATGTAGTATGAATATTGAACACCGTTTTACTGTATATAGCACGTTTAAAACGTTATTTCCATGCAGGATAATCCTGAATCCTTCACCGATTACATGCCGTGGCAACTGAAGAAAAATAATTATGTAAAATAATTAACCTAATATGTCTTTGGCCATGAATGCAACTCACTATGCTGCTTGATACATCTGACAGTCAAAAACTATGTGCATGACTGTATGACTCAATGTATGTTAATTGTTTCAGGGAAATTTTTGTTTTCAGATTAAAGTATAACAATATTTTCTGCATTCCAATATATTTTAATCTACATGCAAGTGCACCTTCTGTTTCAGATAGGGGCCAAATCATTTGAGGCCGAATGGGATAGCCAATGATTGGAGGGTAATGTTAGCAAATTTGACTCCCATACATAATGTCAAGTTATCACTGGTCAATTTTTAAATTTCTTACAATTTCACATCGGGGAGTTCATTGCCCCCTCATTATCCAGAAGTGTGACTAAGTGTTTTCTAATATCTATCCAGAGGTCCAATCTAAATCTCCACCACAACAGGATGTATACCTGAGTGATGGTAAGGGAGGTGGGGTTAACATTCTGATTTATCAATAGATTACTACACATTTCCACATTCAAAATATGAAAAGTTTTCCAGTTCAATAGACTGTATCTATAGCAGGAGGCTTAAACCAGAATTTCAGAATACAAAGCAACTTTTATGTCATTTTTGTAATGGTTTAAAATCAATTTTTATACAGACATGGTAGGGTGTCTCCTGGCTAGAAGCCTGCATATACATATACAAATTTTCAGTTTTGTCCATAATAATAGTTTATTTTATAATTTCAATTCTTACAAGATTTGCAATAAGTCAACAGAATAAGTATTCTATTCTGAACTGTTGACAGGAAACAGTGTA